ACTTGTCAGCTAAGTTAACAGGGGTAATCGGAATAGCTTCTATATACATGCAAATGGCACCACACATACGGGAGATTGCATGTGCCCCACACCCCCACCTTCAAAAACTGAAGGGTGTTGTCGTAAATTAACAATTTGTGGCATCCACCCAGGTTGTAATAAATAATTATACTTTTGGCATGCCCCAACAAAAATCGTAACAACCACCTTACTCTCTCAATAACATTGTTCAATGTATATGCATCGTTTAAATAACTAAAAAGATATTAATTACCTTTTAATTTCTAAATTAATATTAATATTAAGAATCAAAACTAAATATCATGCCTTAATTTCGTAACAACAACTTAGGGACACAAATAAGTAATTCACTTTTAAGCAAACATATATAAGATTGCTATTAATTAATAACCAAATGGTCTTTGACCTCGGTATCGTAGCCTTTGGTCTCTTACGAGGTTAGGGGTTCAAACCTCACCAAATGGGGGGATATGTAAGTTTATTTGTCATATATAAATATTATATAATTCAAAAAAAAAGATTGTTACTAATATATATGCTCATAAAAAATTTAAAACCGTTGCAAAATAACGAAAACCATTTGTTGGATCTTACTCTTTCTGTCCCAAAATAAGCATCTATAATGAAAATAATACAGATTTATGCATGCATAATTATCATATTTTTTTAGTTAACCAAATAACAACTTTACTCTTAATTTAATTTCTCTCTCTTTACAACTCTTAAATACTTGTGTATTAACTAAGGGTAAATTTGAGAATTTAGTTATTTATCTCTAAATTCAGATACTTATTTTGTAACAAACATACACAATAATATAAACATTTATTTTGGAATAAAAGTAACAGTAAAAAAATTGATTTTTTTGGATATTAATAGACACCAAAATAGTATAATATTTAGAAAAGCAAACTAGTAAGATAAAGCTTATTTTACTTGTATAGTAGAGGGACCGAACATGTACTTTTTTCCTGATAATAAGGATATGCTACACAAAGATATAGAAAATCATGTTGGATCGATATCTTGCTTATAAATAGACATTGAAGATTGGTGTAAAGATCTCATACCAAATAATTCAAATCTTGAACTTTCATTTTCAAGAATCAGAGAAAATGAAGGAACAAGGAGAAATATCAGAGGGTTCATTTACAAGTGCCATGACACTTGCCCTTCAAGGTGGCGAAAACATACCTGAACGATATGTTCTTCCTTCGTTGCAACGACCAAACCTTAGTCTCCTGGGCCACCCTTCAATCAGCCTCCCTGTCATTGATCTTTCCTCGTTGAACGATCCTTTACTTAGGTCTCAAGCCGTTGATGAAATTCATGCTGCCTGCAACAAACTCGGTTTTTTTCAGGTATGGTTCATGCAGAAGTGTGTAGTTATGGTAGAAAACTTCTTTGGCTCAGGAATGTGCATGGTTCATGCATGTCTTCTAGGCTGTATTTGTAAAAATGTCAAATATATAAAAGTGTGAAAATAAGTGGAACCCATTACGTTACTATGTGTAACGACTCATATCTTAAAGCAGCAGGCTAACCCAATAATCTCAAAGCAGCAGGGTGACCCAATAATCTCAAAATCAATGTAAAACCAGGGTGGGGCTTATAAAGAGCTACAAGTCTAATTTTCTATACATGTGGAACTGGTTGTTACAAACTCCTCGCCTAAATTCCTGACGTCCTCGACAGGCCTTCGCAACATCCTCCTTGCTCATCAACAACGTGGGATTTGCTTAAGATGTTACAAACATCTCCCTTTAGGGACTCATCATGTGCTCGATGAGGTTTGTGCCACCATTCCGATGGTACAAGAATCGTCCTTGATACCATTTGGAACACGTGCCACAATCTCCAAAAAAGCCATTGAAGAGAGAAGCTAGGTTCCAACATCTATTAATGCGACGTGAGAATTTAACAAGAAATAAGTTGAAAAAGTATTTAAATGGAAATGTAGTGCATGCATGCATGATTATTAATATGTTTAAATAACAAAATATATGTGATTTGAAGGTGATAAACCATGGGATTCCTACATCGGTAATGGAAGATGCTCTAGACACTGCCAAAGAGTTCTTCCTTTTGCCGAGCGAAGAGAAGATGCAATTTGCTTCAGCTAATGTTCGTGAGCCAGTTCGGTACGGCACCAGCATGAATCATGTGATGGATAAAGTGTTCTATTGGAGAGACTTCATCAAGCATTATGCAAATCCGATCTCAGAATGGATCCATTTATGGCCTTCTACCCCTCCAACCTACAAGTAAAAATATTAAGCTATATTCTTCTTTTACATATCAGCACGTAGATTCAAACAAAAGATTATTACGAGTCTATAAATCATGGCAGGTTACTACTATTGATATCATTACAAATTAAAAGTCACTACAACAAGATTGGGTTTCAAGGATGCCTAAAATGTCTATACCTCCTAATTGAATGTTTTATAGGACCAAACAGTAAAAAATGTTACAATAGGTTTATAAGACGCTTTTGGACATATCAACAAATTTTTTAGGATATTTTTAAAATAAAATGTCTTATTAACTATTTGACGAGACACTTTTAAGAAGTGTCATGTAGGCCAATATTTTTATAGGACATTTTCAAATCGTGTGTCTTATAAAGTTTATTCTAAAATGTCCTAGAAAACTTGTAAAACGTTCTATATATAAACTTATTGTAACACTTTAAGTTGGATATTTTATTGTTTAGTCCTATAAAAGAGTCCATTAGGATACTTTCATCATCCAATACACTCAATTTTGTTGCAGTAATTTCATTGTTAAAGGTTGTTTTAACATCTTTATTTCAAGAAGAAACGAATATATAAATGTGGGGTCGATTAACTTGATTAGAGAATAAAGATAGACCCACAAAACGAATAATGTAGAATGGAACATATATTGACATTTATTGGTTTTTATTCATGCTTTTGCCAAAAGGATATATGGTTTAGGTTGTTGATCAAGAGGTTCATATTCATTAACCATATCTGGTTGCTTAATTTGTACAGAGAAAAAATGGGAAGCTACACAAAAGCAGTGCACATATTGCAGAAGCAATTAATGGGAGTCGTTCTTGAAAGCTTAGGCTTGAATGCCAACTATTTACATCAAGACATTGAAGAAGGCTCACAAGTCATGGCTGTGAACTACTACCCTCCTTGCCCGAAACCAGATCTGGCACTCGGGATGCCATCACACTCGGATTATGGAACCCTAACCATCTTAAACCAAAGCCAACAAGGACTTGAAATCATGGACCAAGATAAAAAATGGCATTCTGTACCATTTATCCAAGGAGCATTAATAGTTCAATTGGGGGATCAACTTGAAGTAATGAGCAATGGTAGATATAAGAGTACCATTCATAGGGTAACTGTCAACATGGAGAGGAAGAGATTTTCCATTGCAAGTCTCCATAGTCTACCGATCGGAAAAAAGGTGGGACCCACACCACAGCTAGTCAACGAGCAATATCCCATTGCCTACAGAGAGGGAAGCTTTGGTGAATTTCTTGACTACATCTCTGCCAAATCTCTAACAGAAGCTAGGTACATAGACACATTGAGAATTCTGTGAACAACTGCCGGTGGTTGCAGTACAATATGAGCATGCATCAAAGAAGTCCTTACTTAAAGATCATGTTCAAACCCGATGCCCCATTCCCAGAAGCCAGAGGTGTACTGTTACTGTTAGTCTGTTATGGTGGTTTAGAATATACCATCAGTGCTCTTGAAACCAATTGCTTGATGAAGGCATCCAACGTATTTTGGGAAGTATTAGCTAATGCATAACTATCAACCATTTAAACGTTCTACTTCCATGTGGTTTACTAATTTACACCAAAGATTGTGCATGTCATCAGTGATTTCTTTACATGAATATTTAAAAGAAAGCTATCATTAAAACATGCAAGAAATCTGCAATTTTAGTGGGACATACCAATCACCAAAGATTATGAATAAGAACGGTCGTTGTCCCAAATTCCTTTTCCTCTTCATGCCCCACCAATTACTTAGAACCACATGTCGTTATTCTATTTAATTTATCATTTCATTCTCTCTCCTTGATATATGGATGGCGTTACTTCACGTGATTGATGGACAAGAAAGGAATGTGGAATTTGGAGACATCTGATTTTTCTTCAAAAATCGTATTCGAAACTTCCTTTTTTTATGAAACTTAAAGACGAATGCAACAAATATTTTTTGAACTCATCAAAAGATAGAAGCCATGAACACGAGACCATTGCGACCTACAAGCACACCGGTACCATTCAAGCTAACTGCAAACTATCCAGACAATCATCAATCTCGGTGTTCACTAGTAAATTTGTAAACCAAAAGTGCATAGCCATAAATTGAGTCTCTTTGATAGCAGTTGTTCTGAAACTTAGATCATGGTCAATCTATGAAAGATCCATCAAGACCTGAACAGGAATGCATAAATGCATATTAAAATTCAGGTACAATCAAATCAGATGACCTTTTAATCATTCCATCAATTCACATTCCTTTCATCAGATATGTTGTCATTTGAGATGACTCATTGTTCATATTAACACCCAAAAAGGCCACGGAAGTTTGAAATTCGAGGATTAATGCATTGAATTTTCGCTAAAAGTCAATTTCAGCAATAAAACTATTCTGCCTTTCTAGCAGGATTTCTAGTAATAATTAATAGCTGTGTAATTTAATATCCCTAATTAGATCATACGGCTCAATCACTTTCGCAATTTCTCTAATAAGATCTTAGTTAATCATGACAGTATTTCGCAAACAAAGACCGATTTCGACTAACAGTCAATTTCAAGCGATTTCAATCATCTGAATTACGGTTTAGATAGCAAAATCTAGATAATAAAAAAACAACCAGAATTGGTTCCAACTTACAGAAAATCTCGTCTGGAATCATATGATCTGATAAATTCCAACTTACAGAGATCTACGCTATTAGAATCTTGCGGTTCTCATACATACTCTCTGCCCTGCCTCCGGCGACTGGTTATTACGCGCAGCTCTCCAGCGAGAAATTTCTGTTATTATCCCCATACAGAGGACTCAATTGGGTCCCGCATTTTGGATATCATTCTATACATCCAACAATATAATTTAATATTAATTTCCATAATATCAATAAAATTACTATGTAATGTAATAATTATTAGAAACCAAAACTAAATTAAATTTAAAAACTGAGCATATAATATTTATATACAACAAATAAACTCATACACCATTCTCACCTTTAATAAAAAAATACTACAATAACTAAAGTATCTTTTTGTATGAAACTAAATTTTAACAAAAAAAAATAATACGTTTATTTTTATAGATATATAAATCAATAAAGCCTTATACTTATAATATTTATTATGAATTATTATAAATATTTAATTAATAATCAATATTCACTAGATATGTTTTTGTAAAAAATTAATAGTGAATTGAAAATTTCAGTTACGAACTTAACTTTCGTTATAAACCAGGAAGATATTCTTTAGGATATTCATCATGAATGGTGTAAAAAATTCACATTCATATCCATGATAATTAGGACAAATTGAAATACGTCTCCCACTCAGACTGTCTCTTGATTCACAGCGGTAATCAGATTTGCAACTAAACATTCCTCTGCTACTGAAATGTATAAATTTTTGCAACCATGTTTATAATGTCACCATACTGAAAGCAATATGCTAGCCCAGTAATTTTAAACTCATATCAAAACCATAGCAAACGCTAATTGTAGCTTATAAATTAAAACCAGTAATTTTCATTTTCTATCTATGTGGAATGAGGTTACTGATAACGTTTATAATTATTAAGTTGTAGGTTACATAGATAGCTAATAAGATTTGATCCGTCATTGATCAAATTAGCTGCAAGTCTCATTAAACTGTTAACAAACGGACCCTAAATTGAATAAGACGTTATTACGTTATGTCGTTCTTTGGATTTTGTGACATTACAATATCGAGAGCATCATTACTATCCAATTTTCATTCAATTCCCCAATATAATTTGTCACCGCATGAAAAAAAATAAGAATCATTCATCTTGTCATCGACATGTCCAGTAACTAAAAGATCATTAACTAAGAATAATACGATTCATTTAATCATCAAGATTCTACAATAACAACACCAGAATTCCCGTACTTCCCAAATTTTATAATGCAATTAGCGTTAAATTATCTATTTTTAATTAAAATACAACATAATTGCATAAAATTTATATATATATATATATATATATATATATATATTACTTTTGTTTTGAAATTTTATTTCTCAAATGCAAAATTGACAAAAAGTTTATTTTAATAAAATCAAACGTAATTAATCTGTACTTAAATATACTGTCAATGTAGTTACATGAAATATAAAAGAAATGAAAACCGAAACACAAGAATAAAAACAGATGAAGACATAATTAGTTCGAGATTATTTAACATGGATATCCAACCCGCTATGCGAGCCGACTAATCCCAGGACGATCACCTGCTTTGTAGATAGCCCGAAGTCACCGCATTTGAACCTCCGTGGCCACAAGGGGATTTTTATTCCTCCTTGGATTTGAACGTGAGACCTCCTGGTACTTTTGACCTTTGGAGCCAAGCTCAAACCAATCAGGCACCACCCTTGTGGTTCAAATCCATGTTTGTGTTATAAGAAATTAACGTAATTACATTATATATAAATAATATTCAACAATAATTACAATAGGAATATAAGAAATTAAGGTATTTGATTTATGTATGTAAATCTATCGTTAATAAAATCACATCAAATGTGAATAAAGTTGGAGCAAGAAACGAACTATCTCGAGAAACAGATATTTCTGAACGAAGAACCGAACTGTATATAAAGATATGGATGATAAGTAACAATTGTAATTAATTTACATTTTAACGCACATCATATTTCATTCAGAGATGCATAATCAAAGTACAAAGACGAATGTAATTAGTATTTATTAGGAGATAATTAGACAAAACTGAAATTAGAATAACTGAAAAACCATGAAAAAGAACAAAAACCCGTTTTTGTATCGAATAAAGTTATTGATATGGAAACAAAATCTAACTATAAGAGTTATGTTTATGGTTAATGAAACCCAAGTAATCAGTATTTAAACAGGTTTATACTGATTGACTAGGATTGACCTGGTTTAATACACAAACAAAAGTACGAAATGATAATACAGTAATTCGAAATAAAACACTTATCTTTTTTCCATTTCAAGTCTTTCTTGAGCAATTGAGGCTTCTAAAATCCCTTCTTTCTTCTCTAAATTTCTTCATTCTATGACCTTCCATATATGCATGCAAAACATATACATATATATATATATATATATATATATATATATATATATACATACATACATACATATACATACGTGTATATATGTACGTGTGTATGTATGCAAATCAAAATCTTGATAGAGAGAGACTCGAGCAATATAAAAGTTAAATGACAATGGGTGTGTGGCCAACTCACTCCAAACCTATATAAATATTGGAAGAATATTCTATAACTGTCGGATTTATACGACAATGATACACAGTTAAGAAAATAAGAAAATAGTTGAATCATATGTGACTTTATACTAACATCCCGAATAAAATCATATGTGATTGACACGATTTTACCCCTTGACTTGAGGTCGCGCCCCCTTTTCTACCCGTTAATGTAAAATCACATGTGATTTTTATATGTAATCTGACTATTTTCTTATTTTGTGTAAATATGTACCATTCTTATACGAACCTACATCTATTCTAAAATTCAGATATTTAAAAAAATACAAGTTTATCTGAATAAAATGTTGATTACGAGGAATTGTTACAGACTCTAAATGAAACCCTTCCTTTAAGAACCACATATGAGAAAGTTATTTCAGAGTTGACTCAACGATTGAGGTTAGCGGAAGGGTTCAAGTTGTTCTGTCTCCCACAAGAATAGAACTTGAACCTGTAATTTACTTAAACAAAGTCGCTTCGTTCCTTCACCCACAGAGTTGCACGTCCGAGACCAAAATGGAAGATTATTAGTTTTTAAATATAAATTACATATTACACATATTCTAATTGGTATTTAATGAACATAAATTAGTATAAATTACCAAGATATATGTTTTAAATACATATTCTAAAACATCATATCAGTGTTTGTCGGAGAAAAGGATTATACTGTAATCTGAGATGCTTGATACTTTAGTTGTATAAAATTTCGACTTAATATTCTATACAAGTATAAACACATACATACACATATGGAGGATGAATTGTGTGAAAACAAGAGTTAAGGTGAAAAGCATAAGAAGAGATCTATACCTTGCATCATTTTTAATTTCATGTCCACTCATGAATTGTGTTTTAGAAATGAATTGATCGGGTGCATCTCGATGCATCTCATTAGTGTTGACATTCAATTAGGATTGATTCAAGGATGTAGATCTTATGCTTCTCACTATAACTTTTCTTCTCACCAGAGCCTAAACCCACACATATATATAGGGTTGAGTTTCGATGAGAAGAAAATTTAAGGTGAGAAGCGTAAGAAGGGATCTCCACCCTTGTTCATCTTTAATCTCAAACCACCCATGAATCGCGCTTAATACG